TTTCCATATCATCAATTATTAATTTCAACATTGAGAACAGGTTAAATCAAATATGTTTAGAGATTAAATCGAATATTTTAATTATTAATGTATATATAAATAATAAATAATAATAAAATAAAATACATGGTATATTGTATATTAAATATGTTATGTAAATATGTTATATGTAAATATATTATTTAAAAAAATTTAATCACCATTCTTTTACTAATTCAAGCGCATTTTCTAAATTTAAATTTGAATTAGGATTTGGTGTATTAATTTCTTCCTCATCTTCTTCCTCTATTTCTTCTTCTAAATCATCATCTGTTAAAATATCTGGTCCCTTTTCTAATCTTTTAACAAAAGAGTCAACATTATTAAACACACCCTTCTTATAAAACTCTTCACAATGTCCACATCTATTATGTAATTTATTATAGCAATTTGCATGGTACCCATGTCCGCATATTAATATTATTCCTTCATCATTTTCAAAAGGTTTTTTGCAATGGTCACATAATTCAGGATTTGGTGGAAAAGAAGTATGATAACCAGCAGGAAGGGATCTTATATCTATGTGTGCATTTAAAGTGGGCAATTTATAAGTATTATTTTTAACCTTTTTTGCTATATTGTTATGCTTAATATTATTATAAATTGAATGAAAGTATTCTAATAAAAAGAAACTTGTTTTTGTAGTCAGCTCTTCCAACATAGGTTCGCTATAAGGATAATGATGATATTTTTTAAATTGATTTATGAATGTTTGATCATGAAGATCAAGAAGATACGCTTGATTAATTATTGCTTCAGGTGAATGTAAAGAAGTTGTATTATTCCTTATTTGGCTATGGATGTTTTCTACATAGTAGTCATTAAAATTAACTAAATGTGATTCTATAACCCTACTAAATATATGGCCATTATCTTTCCAATAATAATAGTCGGAAAAAAAGGCTAAAGGAGCTTTATTGTAATTTTTTCTTTTCCACCTTAAAGCCAAAGTCCAAATACGAAAGAGTGTTTCCAAGTATTCATTAAAAGAACCCGACCTGAACAAAATTGCATATATATCCAATGTAGCAGGTATTATATTATCTAACAAGTCTATCATTAATCTATATTCTAAATTTTTACATGTATTGGGAAATTTATTCATAATAACATTCGCAATTTTTTTCCACCCTTTACTTGCAAGATCTAATAGGAGGTTAATCCTCCAAGGCTTTGGTTTTTTTGCTAGGATTTTTCTTGACCCAAAAACGTAATGAAATAATTGATTAAAGAACTCCCAATGTATTATAATTATATATTCTCTTGAATTTAAAGATACATGTAGAGGACCAATCAATGGTACAAAATTTTTAATAATCTTATATTCATCACAAACACTCTGACTTTGTTCTTGATTATTTATTTTTGTAATTGCCTTTCTTATAAACAGCTGTCCAGGCCAATCTGCTGATATAGCAATTATATTGTTCTTCAAATACTTTGAAATATTTTCAATTTTTATCAATGATAAAAGGACATAATCATTTAAAGAATGCAGATTTTTTTGTTGTACATTGATAATACGAACTTCTTTCATGGATCTATCTTGATGTCTTTCTAAGATTAATGGATTATAAAAATGAACGGTGAGAGACTCAATCCTATTTGATTCTTCTACATTTAAATTATTTGAAACCCATGTTGCTTTACGTGTGTTATAACTAATATCAAATATTCCTTTAAAGTCATTTAATAAATGATAGTTTATTCTTTGAGCCTCAATATTATTAGAATTATGAATGTAGACTCCATTATAAATCGCAGGAACTGCTTGACATTGCTTTATCATTTTAGAAACTGATGTTGCCATATGGTGGGCTGTAGAAAGAGTGGTAGTATTTGGTCTTCTCCATCCATGAATGGAATGATAATCATCAATATTAAAGCAAAATAATAAATGACTCTAAAAGGAATGTATATATTAATAATTTATTCTATTTATATTAAAATTTAAGAATAGAAACTGATATTACTTACATATTCACCAAAATTTTCATTTATTTTTTGTGGATGTTTTAAAGCAAGATCTTTTTTATAATTTTCAATTGTTTTATAACATGTTGTGATTCCCATATTTGCAAGTGTATCAATGGCTGTGCAACTTGCACCTGCTCCAACAAGGTAAATACCAAGATCAAGCTTTAAGGAATTGGTAAATTTGTTACGTAAACCTACTAACAAATAACAAAATACTACAATAGATCTTTTTGCTGCTTCTTTATTGCTTTCTGTCCTTTTGTCTGGAATTATGGCATCAGTCATTTCTTCAAAAAAACCTTGAAGTCTTGGATCACTTTGTTCAATCATGTCGGAAAATTTTGATGGATCTGACTCTATGCCCTTTTTAAATTTTCTTTGCTGTTTGTAAAGAACTTTACTCAACAGTTTTATTTTTGTTGCAAATGAATCATTTCCTGTTTCTATATCAATACCATCATCAATAATATTTGTGTCTAAGTTATCATCAACATCATTATTATTTTCAGCAACATAATATGAATTTTCTTCAATTAGCAATTGCAAATTATTAATATGATCCATTATACTTTTAAAATCATCTTTGGATACAATAACATTATTCTCAATAGAATTTATTTTAATTTTAGACCAATCTAAGTTATCTTTTTGTTTATTAGTTATAGCATTAATTGAAGATTCACCAACCAAACCATCTTCAGCCAATTTTTTATTATTTGTGTTTTTCTTATACTTCTCATGTCTGTCTGGCTCAACTATATTTAAATAATGTATCCTGTAGCATAATTGATCATCTTTTTTTAAAAATCCATATTCATTATTTACATCTTTAAGTCTAATTTTATTAATAGTATAATCAGTTAACTTTCTGAATTCATTATTGGTGTTAGTACAGCCAGGTATAACACATGGACCACAATTTTTTGGAGGCATCTTTGATTTTAATGAATTTGTTCAATTTAGTTTTTAAGTTTAAGAGAATATTTGTATTTCTGATAAATAATTTAAGAGAATATTTGTATGTATTTCCAACAAAGAGAATATTTGTATATATATATTTCCGATAAATAATTTAGGAAAATATTTTTGAAAAAATCTTTCAGGTTGGAGTTTTCTCTATTTATATATTTTTAAATTATTTATTCATTCAAGTTGACAAAGACCATATTAAAATGTTTCATTGACATGAATGAAGAAAGAAAACAGACATGAGTTTTGATACTAGTATATTTTTAAATCCTTTATTCCGTACAAAAATGTTTCGTTGACATGAATGAAGAAAAAAATGGAAAAAGAATGTGAGTTTTGATACTAGTATATTTTTAAATCCTTTATTCCGTACAAAAATGTTTCATTGACATGAATGAAGAAAAAAAATGGAAAAAGAATGTGAGTTTTGATACCAGCAAATTTTTAAATCCTTTATTCCAAAAATGTTTCATTGACATGAATGAAGAAAGAAAACAGAAAAGGAACGCAAGTTTTGATACCACTATATTTTTAAATCCTTTATTCCATACAAAAATGTTTCATTGAAATGAATGAAAAAAAAGAATGCAGGTTTTGGTTATCAACATTGAATTCTTTATTCCATACAAAAAAAACAGGAGTTTCGATTATCAGCATTGCATATTTTTAATTTAACAAAAAGACAAGGTGATTTTGTAAACTATAAACCTCAAATTTTTTTAAAAATTTTAATTTTGAAAAAGAGTCAAATTGACAAAGAAAAAAAGAACTTTGGTTATGTCTGTCTGTGTATTATTATTTTCTTTATTCAATACAACGAAACGTATGTAACACAATAAAATGTTGATTGTGATACAATGTGATAATTGCGAATGT